AGCGACAGCCTTAAAGGGCGAAGCCTATATGACATAGAACATAATTTGTTTTCGCTCACATTTGTGTTTATCTTAAATCGCACAGGAATCTAAAATCTCTAAAATGGCTGTTTTTCGTGCCGTATATTCTAAGTCCAAGTAATTCACACGCGTGTGTTTACCAATCAGAAAGAGCAAGTGTAAATGTGAGCTCTGTTTTAAGTTTTCTCCTTTCATCCACTCTTCAGAAATGCTTCTGTAGCTAATTGGTGGCTCAGACCTCAGGGTGGGGAGCAGTTTGAAAAGGTCAGCAGTGCTACATCACCTTCGATTAATTACAGCTGATGAGAAGCCACCGAAGAGCTTTCAGGGGTGTTCCACAGAGCAGACACTAATCATTCACTTTTTGCACAGCTCCTTTCCACCTTTAAAGCAGCATTTATGAAAGAGGTAGAATTTTAATTATAAGCTCTTTTAAGCGTGTGGTGTGGTCAAAAAGTGGTTCGGAGGCTGAAGTTGTAAGAACCTGTGGACGTTTGTTCCATCTACATGGCTCCGCCTCGACTCTCGACTCCCTCTTGGGAGGTCGTGGTGTTGTTTTCAGGCCCAGTTGAGGAAAGGCTACCCTTGCTTGAGGTCAAGGGTCATGTTGTGTCGTACCGGTGCAGTCTCATTGCCTAAACTTTTTTTGTTTTCCAGCAGCTGCTCTGTCCACCACCTACCCTTCAGATCAAAAGGCCAAGCTCTCTGTTCTTTCTTTAGCTCACTCACACATTCTTAAATGTGCTAGATTTGATGGATCTTCTCCTATCTTGGATTGATTTTACTGAGCAGACTCAGCTTCATGCCTAATCTTGGTTTGATCTGATCAGAGCGTCCGATACAAAATTTACAGTTTACACGGAGATCATCTGCACACCAGAGGACTTTTTCCCCAAAGAATAAAGAATGATAAACTCAAATGAAAGCTGAAATGCATTTGATCCATCATAAATCCAGGTATAGCTATGAGCCATATTGCACTGACTTCAATTCCATGAAAGAGAAAATGAGAAATACCTACTACTCTTAAAAGCACACCAAGCTGACTCCAAACTTTTGGCAGCAGTGAAGAGTGCCCCGTTATAGCTTCATCAGGCAAAGTTGATAACGTACATATATATGTGGGGAGTGGTGGCGCAGAGGTTAGAGAGGTGGGCTTGTGATCCGAAGATCGCCGGTTCACGCCCCGGCCCCGACAACATCAAAATTGTGGGTGGGGTAGGTGAAACACCCACACTTGCCCCCACCCTCATTCGCCCCACTCTGGGCCCATGAGCAAGGCCCTTAACCCCCACCATGTGCTCCCTAAAAAACAGGTCTCTCTTGCAAATGAGTTCTCGTGGCTCAATGAGACTAACCTGGATAAATAAAGGCTAAATGAAAAAAAATATATATAGTTTAAAGACATCGATTGCCTTAAAAGAGATTATACACGTTTTGAGAATCAGCCATGGCCACTTACTTGTCTTTCGTTTTGTTATCATAAAAGTTGTACCCAAGATGTGTTGTATCTCAGGAAATACACAGTCTATGAAGAAAGCTGTCTGTTCACTGGGAAAATGCACTGTAAGGGGACTATTAAACTTGGTTCTAGGCATACACACACAAACCATGGCTCCCACGTGGAAAAGTACATGTTTCTAATATAGCACCCAAACGGACGACCTCGTTCCAGTTGACTGACATCTACAAAAAATGCATGCAGCACAGTGAATCAAGTCAGAGGGCAAGTCTGCACTTTCAGGACAAATTAAGGGTACAGAGTCATCCATACCTGTGCACATCTTTTCTAAAGACAACTCATAGACTGCACTCATAAAGAATATTTATCCCATTTAAGTCTACATTGGAAAAAAAATCCCATGTTATTGTCATTCACCTACATACTGACACAGCAACCTATAAAAGTAGTTTTTAAATTTAATGACTTATGACAGAGACGCTTATCATTTTTGAAGCATTTTGCAGGAGGAAGGTTTTTAAATCTTGTCTTTTATGCATTTTCCCCACCAGACAGCATGTTTTGTTGGAAAGGGAAAAAAGCGAAACACACAAGGTTGAACCAGAGAAATAAATTGCACAAGTGGCAGAAATGGATTACTCCTGACGTGGAAAAGTAGATTCAAAGACAATGCAAGCCCAGAGGAGAATGATTGGTTATAGACACCTAATGACAGAGTCAAAAGCCTTTTTTTAACACATCTGTTTCACATATCAATGTCCCTGTTGAGTTTCCTCTTTGTTATTCACACAGACAAAACAGAGGCAGCTCAGTGCCACTTTGTTGTGTCTGCAGGTAGCAGACCAACAAAAGAACCAGGTGGGTGACAGCAGAGTCATTGTCATGATGTTTATGTGTACAATAGATCAGCGGGAGGCACTTTGTGACTTCATCTGATGACTGTCAGGAGATGCATCTATCTTTATATTTTCCACAAGAATGTGCGACAAAGGTGCACCAAGTTTGGCACCAATGCTTTTAGAGAACTGTCATGCAAAGTCTGTCCTTTCTGGCCTGTTGCTTCCCCCTCTGACCTTTCTTTATAACATCAAAACCTCAAGACCTGTTACCTCCAAAAGTATCAAAATAAATCTCCATAAATTTATAAAGCTTCCTCGCCAATCCGTCATTGCAATTAGGGAACTAACCAACTTCTTGTTCTATTTTTCTTTTTTGTGTCTTTTTCTTAATTTTGTTATAAAAGCTCTCTTGTTTGTACTCCACATCAATTAATGGAGTCATGACTTTGTTCTGAGGTCTGTGTTTAAAAGTCAAGCAAAGGCACAAAAGAAGAGGCTACAGAGCTAAATAAATCAAGTTCAAGTAGGTTTAATTGTCATTTCATCACATGTGGTGGAACGAAATGGTGTCAATAGGGTCCCAGTTACACCCAACAATATCAAAAATATAAAGTGTAAAAAGAAACAGTAAATAAGGATCTAAGATTTCAATTCATTTCAGTTTATTTATATAGTGCCAAGTCACAGCAGAAGTCATCACAGGGCACTGAACATAAACTAAGATATACATTAAACACTAATAGTGCAAAACAATATGCTGAACAACAGCAGCATGAACATGAGTCTGTGTGAGCAGATGAGTACAAATGAATACAGCAGCATGAAATGATCAGCAGCATGGATAATCAGCAGCACATCAAAGTGGCTATACAGTGTTTTTTATTCATTGATTCTTCTGGTTAGAGATTCACACTTAATGCTCCGCCACCTCCTTGCCTGAGGGGAGCGCGGCAAAAAGTGTGTGTGCTGGGTGAGTGGGGTCCTTCATGATGCAGGTGGATGGAGGTGTAGATGTATGTGATGGTGGGGAGGCTGACTCCAACAGACTTCTGTGCAGCCTTCACCACTCTCTGCAGAGCTTTTCTTTCTGCAGCTGTGCAGCCTCCATGCCACACGTTGATGCTGGAGCACAGGATGCTCTCCACTGCACACCTGTAGCAGGAGGTGAGGACTGAGCTTCCCAGGCCAGCTCGCTTCAGCCGCCTGAGGAAATAGTGTTGTTGCCCCAGCTGAGGTTGTTATTCAGGTGCAAATAAATAAATAAAATTTAGGATAATATTTTGATGTTCACACACACACATACACACACACAACGGTTTTGTCTGTCCTACTGTCAGATATGACTTATGGGTATTGCTCCTGGTGTTGCTCCTCTGACAGGGCTGTCAGTTACACCTCAGTAATTCCTGCGGCTGATTTCTCCAGCATGCTGCCTCTGCAGGACCAATCTGATATCCTACAGAGAACATTCATTTCTACAAATTGCTGTTACAGTGGGTGTGAAGGAAGAGGCTGGAGAGGGCGGCTGTAGATTGGGTAGATTGTGAAGTTAAAAGGGGTGAAGTTGGTCAAGAGGGACGGGGAGGTTCATCACTGTTTTAGAGGTCCTGTTTGAAGACACCTCCTAGTGTCTGTTGTCTGAAAAGGATATCACAATATTAAGTGAAGTAATAACCGTTCGTGTCTGGGGTTAATAAATATCGAAGCATTTAAGGATGATAAAAATTAACATTGCTGGTTAAATGACTTGCAGAAGTGGAGACACTGTGTCTGTGTTATAAATATCTGCCAAGCCTTGTGCCAGAAGTGTCTGAATTGGGCTCCTGGGTCCTATTATAGACTTTTATCGTCTCTATTGCTTCAAATTGAGCGAGAGTATTATGTACCGAGTGAAAATAAATATATCATTTGGGAAAGTGAAAATTTGAGAGTAATTTTGTATAGAATGACATTTGAGTTGTGTTAAAACAGGCCTGGGGCTGCGGGTGCTGTGCTCTGCACTTGCAAACCAAACTGAAGAAGTTGCAGGACAAAGGTGAACCAGTGTTAGACTTCTAGCACTCGTTCACACTACATGCACATTGAAGTGTTATCGTGCCAGTTTTTGAGCAGTAGCTGACAGTTTGCACATTCAAGCTTGTGCAGCTTTCACCTCCTGCAAGGTTACAGTCGCTCTGCAGAAGTCGACTCATGCCTCGGCGCAAGCCTTGCAGCAAAAGCTGACTAATTAGAAGAACATGTTACATGCTGGCTAATCCTCCACAGATGCAGCATCAAAGGGTGTCAGGACTGTACATGATTATCAGTAGTTACCTAAAGTACATTTGAACAGAGGGAAATGATGGCATGATTTCTAGAGACTTTAAATGACTAAGCCATGTGGAGCTCTGCCTCATCCTTCTTTTTTATTCCAAGTAATAATCTGGACTTGTAGGAGATCCACCACAGATGAAATTTGATGGAAACCTCTGATGTCTTGATAATAGAGCTGTGGTTTCATTCTGACAGAGAATATGTTTCTCTCAGGCTCTTTGTCTGAATGCCTGCCTGTTTGTTTGCAGTTGTTTGTCCACATACACTGAGCCCTTTGCAGGTGGTTTTATTTCCCCTCACACAGGTTGCTCTAACTGCACAGCTGACATAATGAGGTTTTGTGTGCATGTTTGTGTCTTCCTCAGGGGTGCTGTGGAACCTTTCGTCGTGCGACGCAGTCAAGATGACAATCATACGGGACGCCTTATCGACTCTGACCAACACTGTGATCATCCCTCACTCTGGATGGAGCAGCTCCACCTTCGACGACGACCACAAGCTCAAGTTTCACTCCTCACTTGTGCTGAGAAACACTACAGGCTGTCTGAGGTAAACCACCTGATGATCACACTGGACACTAGCTCCCCCCTGTGGACATTTGATGACATTACATCTTGCATATCTAAATCTTTATATTATGCATGTAAAGAAATGTTTAATAAAACTGAGGTGACTCACCACAGACATGGAAAACAGACTCAGAATGATGTATGTTTTGTGGGGATGCAGCTACAATTATTGCCTGTCTTGTCTGTGTTAAAGTCGTTCCCATTTCAAAGTCTGTTACAGTCAAAGACGATGTGATAATCCCAGCTTTGCTCCTTTGAAGACATTGTTAGGAGCTCAGACTTTAATTAGAGACAATTAGCTGAGCTGAGTGTGTATGCATGTGCATCACTTTATATAGTGGTGTAGCTGTTTCTTATTTACCCAGTTAAATACCATAGTTACTTGAGCCAGACCAAACAAACACACCTCATACATTAAAGATGGCGTCTGAGAATGACAAAGTACACATGACGCTTTCAAGTGGGACGCACACAGAGCTGTCACTTTGTGTGCTTGCCTGTGTGCGTTTGTTGAGCAAAGCCGCCTAACTGAATGTGCTTTTTAAAAGGAACCTAAGTTCAGCTGGTGAGGAGGCCAGAAAACAAATGCGCACTTGTGAGGGTCTGGTTGACTCACTGCTCTACGTCATCAAAGCCTGTGTAAACACCTCTGACTTCGACAGCAAGGTACTCCACTCAAAGCCTCCTGTCTGCCCATACACACAACAGCACACACACACTTAAGGGCCCTGCATACTCCATCCGAAGTGACGAAATCAGCTCTCATTGATGTAGTTGAGTGACGAAAATCTTGTCTATTTTGTCATCAGAGTAGCTTCGCCCACCACTTCTCGACACAAGACTGGGGCTGAACTTTCTCTCGGAGGTGTACGAGCCAAGAGTTTGGTGTGATACAAGTGTGGCGCTTCATTCATGATAAATTTGTGGCCAAGCGGACGGAGCAGAGACTCTGGCAGGAAAAAACCCGTGCGGTGACGTATACTGCAGCGGGTTGGGTTTCCCAAGAGCTCTGCGCCTGTGTCTCATTGTGTATGAAAGGTGTGTGTGAAAACAAAAGTCCCGCAACCACGTGACTGCGAGTTGACTGTTCGGCTTCAGATGGAGTATGCAGGGCCCTTTAGCCAAGAGGAAAATATGCAACCACTCGATAAGAGACTCTGAGAAAATAATCCTTATTCCCTGTTTGAAGCATTTTATTACTAAATGGGTCTCTCAGCAGTTAGCAGCAATTCTGTAATGGGTTTATTTTTTCAAAGCACAACCAGTACATGCACAACAGTAGACCTTAAGAATCAGAAAATCACCATTGTCATTCTCTACAGTGTTTTACAATTTTCTGCACATCAGTCTTTGCTTTTTCAGTGACTTACAAAGTCAATTGTTTCCCATTATTTTATTGATTGGCGTTCAATAAAACAAACTCATACAAAACTCATCAAGCATGGATTTAAAATCAATGTGTTCTGGCTCAAATTTCGTTTTTCTAATCAGAGCCCCTCAGAGCCCATATTTAATTGAAATATTGTAACCCAGTTAGCAGCAGGTCTACGTCCCACACATTGGTAATTAACTGTTGCTTTTGTTATGGTGATTTTGAAAGCCCCTGCTATTAGTGCCCACTCTGAAGCTTTGTTTTATTTCCCCTTCTTGTGCCTGACAGATTGTGGAGAATTGTATTTGCACTCTAAGGAACCTTTCATATCGTCTGGAGCTGGAGATGATGCCATCTCGACTGACTGGTGGGCACGAGCTGGATGGCTTCCTGGGCAAAGAGTCACCCAGTAAAGAGGTGGACTCCAGCTGCTGGGGGAGAAAGAAAAAGAAGAAAAACGGCTTGCACGAAGACTTGGTGCGTGCTGCATTTTTATAAGCAGTAATGTTCAAACTACTGTATTTTTCGCCCTATAAGTCGCAGCTTTTTTGCATAATTTACATGCCCTGCGACTTATACACCAAAGCGACATATTTTTTAATATTTTTTTTCCCCATATTTATAAACTAATTTTTGGCTGAGATATGACTGTTTTCATTCATTCTATATGAAAATATTGAACACTATCATTTTCAGCCACTAGATGGCATTCGAGTCGTGTGGCATGCTGTTGTATCATGTAATAGGTAAAAGTGGCTATTAATGACACAATCGGCTTGTTATAGCCGGCCACCGTTGTTTGCCTGGTGCAACTGTCAAATCAGCTTCACTTCGCTGCGCCGCCTCGGCAAAATGCAACTAATTTGACCATTAAAGTGCATTTATTAAGTAAAAGTTCAACTGAGACACACCTTTACTATAAAGTCGAGCAAATAATTGTTTTAGGTGGTTATCTTGTTAAATTTCGAAGAAATGGACAGCGGGTCACCTTCTGCACGTTCATGTTTCCACGTACCAGCTTTTGAAAATGCAGCTAATTTGACCATCTACATGCATTTATTAAGGAAAAGTTAGACTGAGACACACCTTTACTATAATTTTGAGCAAACAAATAATTGTTTTTAGGTGGTTATCTTGTTAAATTCTTGTTAAAGTCCTCCCGTGCACGCTCCCGTGGCCGCCATTTGGAAGCCAATCGATTTTTGGCACAACACCAGCTCACATATCCGGGTTGTCCGTTGTGACTTGTAACAAACGCGACGCATCAGCAGTGACGCATAATAGATGTGTTACACAGCGAAGCGATATATTTATGTTGTTTTCCACTTTATTAGACATATTTGGACCGATTCGACTTATAGGGCGGTGCAACATGTACGGCGGAAAATACGGTATATGCTTATTATGTCAAAATCAACATTTCTCTATGCAACAGACCACAAAGCACATCACACAGCCTGTTTCTGCTTCAAAGGTTGTTTATATTAGTTTATAAAACCCAGCCTGACTAAACACTAATTGTATTTTCAGTGGGATGGTGTGGGGCCCATTCCTGGCTTCTCCAAGTCTCCCAAGGGTGCAGAGATGCTGTGGCACCCTTCAGTAGTTAAGCCTTACTTGACTCTGCTGGCTGAGAGCTCCAATCCTTCTACTCTGGAGGGTTCAGCTGGGTCCCTTCAGAACCTGTCAGCTGGAAACTGGAAGGTATGATATGAATCCATAAAATAAAAAATAACATCTATTTAACTGGTGTAAAAGCTCCTGTCTAATGTCAGTTTTACAATTGAAATCACACATTTTATTATGTGCATCTCAAAGCCAGAAATTTGCACCTTTCTGACGGTTGAGTGTCCTTTATGTGTACAGTTTGCAGCGTACATCCGTGCAGCCGTTCGTAAAGAGAAAGGACTGCCAATCCTGGTGGAGCTGCTGCGGATGGACAACGACAGGGTGGTGTGTTCGGTCGCCACTGCTCTGAGAAACATGGCGCTGGACATCAGGAACAAGGAGCTCATAGGTCAGGAGTTCCACTGGTATAAGAAGCATATTTTCTTCAGCTGAATAAAATGCTAAACAAACACTTTATAAAGACTGTTCAGATTAATTCAGCTGCTCATGTTCAAGTGAGAGGCCATGTGAATGTGTTTGACCTGGTCCAATAGATGAACACAGTTTAAAACATTTACATGTTGTGCTCTGATTAAGAATGTAGCTGGAAGTTTGCAGGCGTCTGTTGTGGACATTGTCCAGAGTAGTGTTGTAGCTTGGCAGTGTTCACTTATTTCTTGTAAGAGATTATGATCGACTACATACGGCAGATTCTCCGTGCCACAACAACAAAAATAATTAGTTCACAGTATTGATTGCATTGACAAACACACATTACAACAGGAACATCCGTAAAGCTTAGTGCAGATCTGAGAGTTATATTAAGGCGTCTCTTCTGGAACAACTACTCATTTCAAAGTGTAAACTTTAGTTAATGCTGAAACCTTGTTTGTCTCCACACAACGCTCGGAGGAATTTGTTTTAGTCACAAACCTCCTTTGTCAGAAAAGGCCTTCTTTTGGCTGGTTTATAGTCAGACTACACTAAATCTTGAACTGAAGCATTTAAACTTAAACTGTTACGTGGTGGTAGCATTATGCTTTGGGACCTGATATTTTTGTATTTTATTTTTTGGAACTTGTAAGTTGTTTGTTTGGAATAAGAAATAATTATCTGAGATTCTTTAGAACAATTTGGTGTGTCAGCAGAACGATGTCCACATGCAAATTGAAGCTGATCGTAGTTTGACCAGAGTATAAATGAATGTGCTTAAAAATCATATCTGTGCCTGAAAATCAATAAAAATCAATTCTGCAAAGGAGAGTTGTATAATATGGAAACAGAAGCTGTGTTTACATTTCCAGGTCATCTCACAGTTTCAGGTTAAGGAACAGTTTTCTATTGAATACTCAAAGCAAAAATTATTTGACTCATTTCATGTTTTTTCCACAACCAGTGAGCGTACTCTTTCTTTTCTTTTTATTCTATTGGAGATGGATATGTTACAAATGTTGCGCATCAGATAAATAACAGTTAAATTATTGTATATGCACTTCTAAAACAAACTGCACAATGATCTTCATCTAGTGCAGGGCTATTCATCTGGCCCATCAATGACTTCATAAAATATTTTTTTTTTTTTTTTTTTGGGGGGGGGGGGGGGGGGTGGAGTCTGGGTTTATTGCATTTATGATTCAATGCAATAAAACAAACAAATTTAAAAGTTAACATATCATTGTAACACTTGGTTTATTAACATAATGACTTTAATTGCTGGATGTCCGGCCCCTGAGTTGCTGGCTCTCAGAAACTGTGGCCCCTGAGCAGTTTAGTTGAACAGCCCTGATCTAGAGTGTTATATTTTAAGAACAGGGCTTTATACATTTTCATGTTGTCTCTAGAAATAATGATTTAGTTTGCAGAAGCACAGGTGTTGCCTGAAAGCAGAGAAGGTGGTTTAAGTGATTGTCTTAAGTGTGCGCTTGATTTGCAAATATTCAGCCTCTTTAGCTGCAGCACTAAAGAAGATGGACAACAGTCCTTTTTCATGTTTACACTCAAAACACTCTTAATAGTGTCATTTGATTCCATCATCACTGATATAGCAGTTGTCTCATGGCTGTTGAGGTGAATGCAGAAAACATTTACCGGTACATAATATTATACAGCACAGGGAAACATTGCACCATTTTCTTGCACGTGCAGCAACTTTCCTCTCTTCTTTCCCTGCCTGAGCTCCTTCCCATAAATCTGCAGTACAGCAGATCATTTTGCATTAGCAGAATGTCTCACATCGTCTTCCCTCCTTCCCCACAGGGAAGTACGCCATGAGGGACCTGGTAAATCGCCTCCCTGGAGAAAACACCTCCCTGCTGTCGGACGAGACCATAGCAGCCATCTGTTGCACCCTGCACGAGGTCACCAGCAAAAACATGGAAAACGCAAAGGCCCTGGCCGACACGGGCGGCATCGGGAAGCTGGTCCACATCACCAAGGCCAGAGGAGACAGGTGGGCTACAAGAGCGTGTAGTTGTTGACAGTGGTTTTTATCGTACATATATTTAAATGCTTGAAGAAGTACTGTATTTTTTGGCCTATAAGTCACAGTTTTTTGGATAATTTACATGCCCTCGACTTATACACTGAAGCGATTTATTTATGTATTTTTTTCCCATATTTATAAACCAATTTTTGGCTGAGCTATGACCATTTTCATTCATTCTGGCTGAAAATGTGGAACACTACCATTTTCAACTGCTAGATGGCACTCGAGTAGTATGTCATGCCGTTGTGTCATGTAATAGATAAAAGTGGCTATTAATGGCACAATCGGCTTGCCATATCCTGCACCTTCGTTCTGCTCGCTTGGAGTAGCCGTTATATCAGCATCATTTTGCTCCACCACCCCAGCCGTTGTAGTCCATTTATTTAGTAAAAGTTCAACTGAGACGCACCTTTGCTATAAAGTCGAGCAAACAAATAATTGTTTTAGGTGGTTATCTTGTTAAATGTCGAAGAAATGCACAGCGACTCGTCCCTCTGCGCGCTCCCGCAGCTGCAAATCGGGTTTGGAAGTGCAGCTGATTTGACCGTCAAAGTGCATTTATTAAGGAAAAGTCAGACTGAGACACACCTTTGCTATAATTTCGAGCAAACAAATAATTGTGTTAAAGTGTTAATCGTGCTAAATTCTTGTTAAAGTCCTCCTGCGCATGCTCCTGCAACCGCCATTTGGCAGCCAATTGATTTTTGGCACAACACCGACCCACATTTCCGGGTTGTCAGCGGTGACACATAATAGCTGTGACTTACACGGTGAAGCGACATATTTATGGATTTTTCCACTTTATTAGACATATTTGGACTGATGCGACTTATAGGGTGGTGCTACGTGTACAGTGGAAAATACGGTAGATCTAGCCACTGGGAAGGTGTCTCTGTGTGCACTGAGCTTTATCGTCTCTGTGGAGTGATGGTACTGCAGCTTTTTTTAGCTTGCTGTGTTTTCAGTACCATTCCATGTTAAAACACACTGAGAACACACTTCTCCATCAATCATAATGTCCTGCACTGTGAAGAGTGTAACAAGAAATCAGGTTGAAGGGATTCGGGAGGACTCAGAAACGTATGTTACAGTGTTTCACTGTTTTCCAGATACTCTGTGAAGGTAGTCAAAGCAGCAGCTCAGGTGCTGAACACACTATGGCAGTACAGAGATCTGCGTACCATTTATAAAAAGGTGAGTTCAATGACGATGTGCAGAATGACTACACTTTCAATACAAGCTAAACTATGGAGCATGCTTTGTATGATGCATATGAACTGTGACTTTATTTAAACAGGATTGTTTTTCTTGAGATGGATTTAGTAACATCCAGCCTTGTTTAGTTACTCAGACCACCACCGTTTCTTTTCTGTGCTGCCTTAACAGGATGGGTGGAACCAAAACCATTTCATCACGCCAGTGTCAACACTTGAGAGGGACAGGTTCAAGTCCCAGCCCACTCTCCCCACCAGCACCATTCAGATGTCTCCAGTCAACCACCCCGGTACATTTAATCAGACACTGTTATTGAAGTGGACCTCTGGAATTTTAAGTCTGAATTTTATTATTTGTTTCCCACAGCCACCAGTGCCACATCATCTCCTGCAATGCTGGGCGTCACAGAGCATAGAGACACCATCAGAGACTATCAGAGACCTCAGTCAACTATGCAACTTTATAATTACCAAGGAGATGGCAGTATTCATAGAAAACAGTATACAGGTACTCATCTAAAAACATTTGATTCACACTTGTTATTTGCACCAGACTGGAGGAGCTCCCTCCTCGTGCTTGTAGCAGATCCATGTCTCATTTTCCAACTAAGACCTTATACCCGTTAACTCTGATCACTTCAGACCTGGTTTTTCCTGCTCTAGTTGGTCTGCTTTAATAGCAGACATTTCACATCGGTACCATTAACAGCAGGTTCAAGACTCGGTTCACAGATGGGCAGTGAGTGGGTACCCAGACATACTGCACTCAGATGAGAGCCCTCGCCAGCCTACGCCGGTTGGTGGGAGCAGGGGGTGGCGCGGGCAGAATAAACAAACTGAGCTGCAGCCACAACAGTTCATGTCTTATGTGTGGAATTGGAAATTGAGTTTCTGGAATCCACCGGTTTGATAAAGTGCCAATGAAAAGACCTACCCCTTGGGTTACACAAACAACAGAGCAGCTGGAGCCAGCTCTATTATTTTCTGTTATTTCTTTCCAGCAAAGCCCGGGCACTTCTTGATCCTGCTCTATCTAAATACAGACATCTGCCCTTTGGGGATGTGCACTTTTTTTTTTTCCCACTGATATGAAATGAGATGGTTATGCATTAAGTCTCAATTCGATTCACTGCAACACTCGCTTTATTATTATTATTTTTATCTTGCTCAGGGTCTGGCAAACCATCTCCATATTACTACTCGTCACCCACGAGGGAGGAGCCCCGAAGAACACAGGTGAATATAACAAATAATCTGCTCAGACCTCACATGTTCTTAGTAATTTAACACTGCAGCAGGATTATAATTTTCTTTCTACACACTAAGTTACTAAGACTGTAGTGTTTAGTACAAAGTTCTAGTTAGAGATTCCTCCTTTTCATGCTTTAAAGCTCGTTATGATGATTATCTCTTCTACTTCACTTGACTTATACAAAGAGTCTGGCTCATATTCCACTGGCATTGCTGGGAATAACCCAGCTCATCAGCCATTGTATGAGTGAGAGGGAGCATGACTGCTGGGACTGGGAGGCTCCGTGCGCTTCTCGGGCACCTGTCACTGTAGGGCACGTCCACATGTGTTCATGCAGATAACAGAAGGCAGGAGGAAGGAGATGATGCATTCAAAGACCGTTAGGATCGTTGTCACTGCGTTTATTTATGGCAAAAACAGATTTTTACTGTTTAGTTTGACGCTCCATTCTGTTGCATTAAGACCCAGACACATATGGACCAGAACATGACTGATAAGCTTTTGATTTTTTTTTTACAGCTTGACAAAATATTGTTTTAATTAAAAATTCAGTAATGTTGCATGTTTTGTCATTAACCAATCATACATTTGTTAGAGGCATGTTTTGATAGTTATGACAAGAACATATAAAACATATTTTAACTCATTGTCTTTTAGAAAGTTAAATTTTAATATCTTTGCTGTCATTTGTAAGAACCCAGAAGAGAATTATTTTGATCCCAAATATATTCTCAGTGAAGAAAAATACCAGCATATTATGTATTTTGTACAAGAGAGAGTATGTTGCTTTAAACAGATTTATTACAAATTAAACTTACAAGATAAAGCCAGGGAGCAGGTTATGGCTTCAGAGCTGCTTGTGCTGTTGGTGAATTAGTTACTGATGTTCACAAGCACATTCCTCCCATCCAGAATGGATAATTGTTGTAAAAATAGATTTTCTACCGGGAGTATCTTGATTTCAGATATCTGGATCTGAAAGCCTGAACAAATCTCACGAAAAAGAGGAAAATGGTGTTAAAGACCTTGAAGTGTGGACAAGGAAAAATAACTTCAGATTATTATTATTTTTTTCATTGTTTCACTAGGAAGAAATAATTTTTAACAAATATTCATTGCAAATCCAGATGAGCCATTCATTGTTAAAATGGCCATTTAAACTTGAATTATTATTTTTTGCTTATCTTTAGTTTTTTCTAAAACAATATTTTCTTTTTAGTCAATAAAGTATTATTTCTATTCATAGGAATGTTGCATTAGATACATTTTATTAATATTCTCATTAATAAAGAATGTTGTTTTGACTTAGAGGAATGGTAAAATTGATTTTAAAAAAAAGAAAGAAAAAAAAGGAAAATGTAATTGTTGCTATAATGAACTTTAATGAGCTGCCATGGATGATGTGCTCTGGAGATTGTAAACAATGAAAAGTAAAAAAACAAACAAAAAAAAAACAGACAATGAATTTAAGGAATGCACTAAATATCTTTCAAATGATCAATATACAGTAGTAAAAGTGTAAATTTATTTAAAAAAAATACATGATACAGCTCTATATATTTCTGTTACATACCTAATTCTTGCAGGGTATGTAGCCGTTACATTCATGGTACTTGTATGGTATGTACGTGGTACTTACAGAGTATGTACCACAAGGTACATATATGTAACTTACCTGGTATTTGCAGGGTACTTGGTACTTACAGAGTATGCACCTTGTACTGGCACAAGGTATCTGTTACTTACATGGTACTTATAGGGTTTGTACTAAGTAAATGCTTGGTCTGTACATGTTATTTACCTAGTACTTAAATGGTACTTAACCTTATCTTATATGTACCTGGTACTTAGAGGGTAAATACTAAGTAATTACTTGGTTTGTACATGTTACTCACTTAGTACTTAACTTTATCTAGTATGTATGTACCTGGTACTTACAGGGGGTCTACAGGGTTTCTGCTGTTGCTTACAGAGTAAGTAGCTGGTACATACAAGGTACTTAATATACTGCCTGGTACATATCGGGCTGCATACTGTTTGGCTACTGAATATTTAACATTTTATTAATATTATTTTTTGCTGTTGTCTTGCAGCCCGTGTATTACACAGATGAGCCCAGCAGGAGGAACTACGATACCTACAGAATGTACCTGCAGCATCCTCGTGGTTACAATGATGCGTTTTTAGAAGAAGTCATCACCTACCCTCCTACGGTGGACTACCAGCCTCATGGACTGAAATCCACCGCTAACTATGTGGACTATTACACAAGCACACGGAGGCCTTCGTACAGATCGGAGCAATACCCAGCTTCTCCGGACTCCTGGGTCTAAGTCTGGAGAGGTTCGTGTTGCCATTCAAGAACATTCATTCACCCCGAGTCTCATTTAAGGATATAAGGGGTAGAGGCAAAAAAAGCACACGGGCAACATTTTTCACAAACCTGGCTTTGGAAGTGTTTGTTTTAAAGTGGATGTGTGTGTTTGGAGGAGGGAGTTCACCTGAGCGGTCGCAGATGGAGGAACGGGATGTGTGCCAAAGAGGGAAATCGAGGAATGTTTTTCTTTTAAAGATTATGTGTCATTCAGCAGAAGATGGAATCATGCATAGGGAGAGACCATTGGACACAACCGTGAGAAGTCATGTTATGTGTAGATACTCGTTTTATTTTCTTTAAGGAACTCGTAACTGTGATAGCATGGTTAAAGGTGTGAGTCATGTCAACGAGGGACCGCGGTATGAGTCTAAATGTCAGGGGGGTATATGTATGTGCTCGAGCCAAAATGAATTATGAACTCACCTGTAAAAAGCTAAAAGAATAATTAACTAAAGATAGATTATACAGAGGAGTCAAAATGTATCTGTACTTTAGTGTTGAAACTGTAATGCCATGGAGTCTTGTACATTTCTTTCATTTTATTGTAAATACAGAGAACAAAACGTTACCTGGTTTACGCCTCAGCACTGGTTTAAAAAAATGAACTAACTCGTGCCATGTTAGAGCTCTAAAGATATATAGTTACACAAGTTTGTGGAAAAAAGATGGCATCATAATCATGTAAGATAAATAAAAAGTCAGTTTTGTTTTTTAAATACGTTGTGTATTTCATCTTTTCACTGCGTCAGTGAAGGTGTGTTTTCTTTCTATTTAACGTCCGCCGGCAAAAGGCAAAAGTAGTATGGAGGGTGGAATGTCCATAAGGCAGGCGATAAAGTTTTTGTCTGTGTCTGTTAGCAAAATATCTCAAACCACTGGATGGAACTTGCAAGTAATTAACATACAAATGTTGCTCTCGTTTAGCTCTTTGTACTAAAAATTTGAAGTTTATTGAGCTTGTGTGAGAGCTGCAAAGTAAAATGTTTAAATGTGACTGCTTTATATATTTATTTGTAGACAACTAAATTTTTGTTTTTCTTATTACGTTTCAGTTGTTTAGGATAAAAACAATACTAATATTTTCAAAAAAAGTACAACCAATTTACTTAACAAACAAGGAACCAAATATAAGGTTACATTTCTAGAGAACTTTTATGTAATGAGATAAAAGTTAGCCAGAAATAACTGAGCACTCACAATGTTTATCACCCCATGTTGAAAATGGATATTATTTTTGCTTGCGTGTCTTTTAGCAAAATATCTCATGAACCACTGAACAGATTTCAATGAAACTCAGAAAGTAATCGCTGGATGCATGTCTGCAGCTGATTATCTTTTGGAGTCAATTCAAGATGGCTTCTACAGTCAACTCACCTGGAAAAACACAAAAATAGCTAAAACGTTAATTTTACAGCTGAAATTTAGTGTGGCAGTAGCTGAGGCTAATTAACAACATACACCCCAAGCACCTGACATTTTTTGGCATATATTTTCATTCAGATAAGCTGTTGGCAGTTATTATGTTAGCAAAATATCTCATGAACCACTGGGTGGCTTTTAATAAAACATAATAAATGGTTCAAGATGGCCGTCACACCCAGGTGAACTTGCCAAATACAAAAAGGTATAAATCAGTAAACTGTGTTTGTGTGGTAGTAGCTGAGAGTCATTTACAGCACGTGCTCTTAGCGTGACATCTCGCGATACTTTTTTCCCCACGAGATTTGACCAAAACCACTAAATTAAATCTGTAAAACTGAAAAACGATTCAAGCAACACACCCAGTAAACGTGCGTGTTTATGGTAACTATCCATCTGTGTTCAGTTTCTTTTTCTCCACAAACGAAGAGGAAGATTAAAAACAAACAAAAAAAAAAAAACGTGGAGGCGTGTCTGTGGCTTCCTGCAGCTCGGCTTTAAAAACAAGCGAGTGGGCGTGCACAGGCGAGTTTTGTTGTTTTTCCACTGCTGCAGCGGAAACTTCACAAAATGGTGCAACAATTACCCAAATCTGGAGCGAAGGAGGCCGCTGTGCTGAAAGCTGGCCACCCACCTGCAGGTAAAAACCGTGTTTCTTCTACTCCGAGCCGAAGTTCTTGGTTTGAAGCGTTTTCGCATCGAAGCGTTGTTGTTTTCCTGCACTGCTCGACCATATGGGCACACAGCTCCCCTCCCCCCTTCGGGTTGTACAGTAATTCTGTGCTTCACGAACAAACCTGGTTGTTTTACACAAACTAACGTCCACAAAGCTGGGCTCCTAGATTGTTCTGAAGCAGGTCTGGAACTACCACCCTGCTGCTCTGCTCCAGTTCTGTCGAGCTCGGCCATGATACTAATGTGCAGCCAGCTGTAATAATCCATCTTGCTTTGAGTCAGTGTTGTTTACAAACCCACCCTTGGCCTTCTGCCAACTTATGTCATGTAAACAACAGCTACAGCCATGCATCCTCAGTCCGTTCCTTTTACCTTAGAGAACTTTGGAGCGGGGCATTCTTCTCCATTTGAATAAACTACAACAAATCCTGAAACCAAAGCTGGATTATGGTCCCAGGAATCCAGGGCCCCAGCCTCACCTGCCACCTGGCGTGCACAGGACCAACACTGACAACTCTTGGTCTATGGCAGTGGTCCCCAATCCTGGTTCTCGAGGTGCCACTATCCTGCATGTTTCCCTGCTTTTCAGCAGATCTCCATGTTCTATAGAAGCCTGTAGATTACCCATTGATTCACTTTGGGTGTGTTGGATAGTGGTCCTCAAGGACCAGGATTGGGGAACACTGGTCTACATGGAGGAGGCATCTAGACTTGACCAATTGTTAACTGGCAAATTCCCCTTCCAAGGCCTGTGTCAGGGGAGTTCAGGTGAAGGTCATGGATGCCATCACTAGTGTTAAATTAATGTAGAATCATGAGTGTGAGGTCAAGAGTCTTTTTGTCCACTCAGAGAGGAGCCTGATAACTCCTGATGCCTTCAAATCTGTGAGCTGGAAAGCAGAGGTTGCCTTGACATCTCTTGTCTGACGAGCATTAGGGATGCACAATATAGCATAAAATTCATATCACGATGTGTATTGTGAAGGGTGGCGATAACGGTATATATCACGATATGTTTTTGGTTTAAAACTTGTAACAGGAATGAAAAAAGCATTGGGTGTCATTTTGCCATTTATTTTAAAAACTGCTATACCACAAAATCTCTGTTAAGAAAATTCTACTACTAGGTCCAGAGAGTTTTTAAATACAAAACAAATCAAGTATTGGGCTTCTTTCTTGTAGTGCAAAACCGTGCAAAAAGATATCAAATGTAGTTTTAGCCATATATTTTAAACAAGAATATGCTTGTAACTCTTAACGGTTTCCAGTATTCTCACTTAAGAAATGAACAGCAACAGAGCAGCATTTTACACTGTCCATGGACAGACCTTACAACCGGAGCTTCAATGTAACATCTGTGTAAGCCTGTGTGTTAACTCTGTCCCCCATTGCAAGGAGTAAACTGGGTTGGAAAGTCGTCTTGTCCTCAGAGTGGCTTATTTGAGTAATGAGTTGATGATGGGATAATTAATTTATTCAACAGCCTGGCTTGGGGAAGGTGCCCTAACTTCCCTGATCTAGGCACGGTTACCTGTTTTCTGTGGTCCTTCGTTCTCAGTCTTTAAATCACTCTTGGCTTGACTCCCACCCGAGGCCAGTTTGTCATGAGAGACTACGTAGAACACAGAACCAAAGATCATGGGGACTAGAGAACACAGAACTAAAGATCATGGGCGTGCTCGAACTCCATCACATTAAGCAAAACAACCAGGGAAAAGGGGAGGCGCTCCCTCTGGGTCAATGGTCAATCCATGGGAGGAGTTCAGGAGTAGACGAACGAACTCACAGATCAAGACGTTGTTTAGAGTAACTTTGAGCTTTTCAATTTATTGGTTCATCTTTCAAACTTTAATCATGAGGTGCGAATCATGAGCACAAAAACAAGGTCTTGGTGGATATGGTGGACCGGAATGAGTTTCCTTCATAGTGTGGCCAGGCTCAGCCTTAGAGGGAAGGTGGGGAGTCCTGTCATCCATGGGGGAGCTAGGAGAAGCCTCTGGAGTTGGTTGCCTGCCTCCCTCCAGAGGTTTTCTGGGCACTTCCTACTGGGAGGAGATGCAGAGACCCAAAATTTGCTTGACTGGTTATGTACCCCATCTACCTGAGAATGCTTTGGGGTCTGGGTAGAGGAATGTTGGGGCTTCCCTCCTGGACCTGTTGCCTCCATGACTTAACCACAATAAGCGACAGAAAATGGATAAGTGGGTTGAGAAACTGTACCTCTTAACTTTAAAATCCTTTAGTGGAATTGTTTCAAAACTGATGGTGAAATTAAACAGAATATTATTAAACTGTCTTGTTGATAGTGAAGGCAGGAGGTAAACGGGTGGCCAAGAAGGGCTTGGAAGAGGGTGCCACCACCCATGGGACTCCAGAGAAGGAAGCGAAGAGGCCTGAAAAACTGAGGTAAGCCCAGAATCACTGCAGCAGTTTGACTGTAAATGAACGTTTAGCCTCAATGACTGAATCTGTTGTCTCCAAACCCGTGCAGCCGGTCCCTCGCCTCCTTCAACAGGACGCAACAAGTTGGCATACTTCTCACAGGAAGTCTTGACAAGGTAAACAATCATTCTTCCTCCGTCGTTTAAAAAAAAATAAAAAAATCTGCTCATTCCACTCTAAGCCAAGTGGAATAACGTCCTCTGCCTCTGAGGCTGCAGAGGCTTGTGGGTAATAAAACTTCCCCGTCTGCACATTTTGCAGCTGAGCCACAGCTTTCCAGAGACTCCAGCGAGCGTGAGACACGGCAAGGTTTGTCCTGCGGTGGAGAAGCCTCACTGCCCCCGGACCTTCTTCATCCAGCAGCCGAGGAAGTGGTGAATGTGTTTAAAATCACCACCCGCTCCCAACCTACCCCCACACCCCACCCTAAAGGGGGCAGCTGCATCCAGTCAGCTGTGAAACGTGAAGTGTCAAAGATCTCAAGGGATCTTGCAAGGTGTCTGTAAACAAATGTTCCTCAAACTGTTCGTTTAGAAGAAAAATGACTTTATTTTGTGCTCTGTCTTCAGCTAGCGCTTGTTTTTATTTCCTTTGTCAGAGATGCTGTAGTTGTTTTGTCAGCTGATGTGGAGGAAAAACCAATAGCATTCGGGTTAAAGCGAGTTTTTAAAATTATGGGTTTGAAGGGGAAATGAGGGGCGCTTGAACTGCTTTCACGTGATTGCTTCCTTGTATTCAGTGTAATGCTTGGCACCTATTGTAGTCATGCTAAATAAATCTGGCATTCCTTTCTGACACGAGTTACTCTTTATTATTCTGTATTTGTAATTGTTTAAAATGACCACTAGGTGGCACCAAATTAAAGTTTTTACAAAGCGGAATGTCTCTAAACTGAACATGAAAATGAAACATTAACTTTTACACAACCTCTGCACCAAATCAAGATTAATATTTGAACCTTGTGCTGAAATATCTCCTCACTAATGTTTTTATTCAGACCGCTTTAGTCCTGATGCAAACTTTATTATAATTAAAAAATTTCCTACTACAATATGCAGGGTTCACAGGCATGGGAAACATTAGTTTGGTGATATTTAAAGTGTGAAACATGTTCTGCTCTTCATGTACATTCCTAAAAGACTAGCTTAGTCTTGTCCAAACCACAAAATGGACTCTGCTGTGCTCGAGGGTAAACTTGCAAGACAAAACAATCCAAAAGATGAAAGTAAAACTGGACAAATTTTTTATTTTTATTTTTTTTATTAAAGTAAACTGCCTAAAACTTGGAAAATAAAAGCAAACTGACTCCAAATTAATGTGTTGCCATAGAGGCTTGTTTTTATTGTTAGCAAAATATCTCTCCTACAAAGAGGTATAATTCAATAAAACTCAACCCCAAATAAACTCTTTAAGAGCAATTGTCTCATGAAATATAGCTTGTGATTGCTCGTGATCATTTACAAAGTTTTTGTCTACAATTTTTTAATCTTACGTTGGGGTACATGTATTATAATAAACTTTCAATAAAAAAAAAAAAGAGATGTCCATAAACTTGTGCTAAATGCACTAACGATTGCCGATGTATTCCAGTAAACACAAATGCAAAAAAAACCCCAAAAAACTGCTAACTTGGCCTAGATTATGTTTTATTCTATAATAAATGCATAACACACTATTCAAACACAAAATGTGCATCATGGTTGCAGACTGTTCTGCATACCTGGAGACTGAGCAACATTCAAGTGAATTTTGGATTTATTTAGATTTGGGGCACAAAACGATCTACCTACCTACCCATCCAGGCTGTCGTATTGTAAATTTTGCAGATCCAGCAGTGGTTGGATGAATCGCAAACAGCGATGAGTCTAGCTACAGGCAGGAAGTGGAACACCTAGAGTGCTGGTGCAGGAAGAACAACCTTCACATCAATGTGAAGAAGACAAAGGAGATGATTGTAGATTTCAGAAGGTGCAAACACAACTACCCTCCCATGAACATAGGATCTGTGGTGGAAGTGGTTTCCAGTTACAGGTACTTAGGTGTACACCTGAATGAACACCACCAGCCTGATCAAGAAAGCTCATCAGAGACTACTTCCTCAGGCGGCTGAGACGAGCTGGACTGGGAAGCTCAGTCCTCACCACCTCCTACAGGTGTGCAGTGGAGAGCATCCTGTGCTCCAGCATCAACGCTCAGCATGGAGGCTGCACAGCTGCAGAAAGAGAAGCTTTGCAGAGAGTAGTGAAGGCTGCACAGAAGTCTGTTGGAGTCAGACTCTCCACCATCACAGACATATACACCTCCAGATGCAGGAAGAGGACCACGTGCATCATGAAGGACCCAGCACATACACTTTTTGTCCTACTCCCCTCAGGAAGGAGGTTGAGGAGCATTAAGTGTAGAACCACTAGACTGAGGAACAGCTTCTACCCTGAAACTGTTAGACTCATGAATCCCTAACCAGAAAAATCACTAATGCCATTTTAACTGGTGATATGTGACTATCTGTGCTGCTGATTCTTACCCATGAGCTGCTGTATTCATAGCCATCTGCTCAATACAGATGTGTTCAGGCAGCTGTTTAATACACCATATTATATTATTGTTTAGCATATATCTTAGATCTTTGTATACTGTTTCTTTTTTATAGTTTATATTATGCTATTTTTGGGTGTAACTGCGACGTTGAGTACACAAGTTCATTCCACCTCATGTACGACGTGATGCAAATGACAAAGAACGTTGAACCTTAACAAAACATGTTTCTATGTGAAGTGGTAGTTTTAAAACTTCATGCTGCTTTTAGAAAAAAAAAACATGCCAATCAGTACTTGGCCTATTCATCTCAGGAAGAAGATGAAGCTAAGCAATATGCCTAAACATGATTTTTTTTTCTATAAAAAAAAAATAAAATTGTGGCCTCATTAGATAGAGAACTTTAGTAATTGGCTTTTACATATGTGAATGTTTCTGTAAAGTGCCCTGAGACAACTTTGTTGTGATTTGGCGCTACATGAATAAACTGAATTGAATTGAAATATAAAATCTTCATCTACAGCCTCTAAAGGAGCATTTGTCATGTTTCCTGTTTACACCAGAAACTGTACGAACAATATTTGCTCATTTGTTTCCAAAGAAGGTCCACAGCGCTCAGCCTTGTAAATGCAATGTGCTGCTGACCTCTGACCCTCCGGGACGCACCCTGCTGTCTGGGCTCCCATCCGTGTGTGAAGTTCAGAGACCTCCTCTGCTCTGACTGAGGACTTGGGGCAGTTGGTGGTTCCATTGACCTGCAGGCGTGGTGCATTCACTGCCAGCATGTGTGCATGCCCATCTGAGGACCCTCACTGACCCACACTGCTGAGAAAACACCACCTCCCACTGAGGGTGATGTAGAAAATGTGATCTACCATATTAACGTGACTCCTTCAAGCTGCATGAAATGTTGTCGCCTCATGAGGTCACTACAGGCCAAAGCAGCTTTAATGGGGTGCAAAGGGTTTCACAGAAGCTTTTGAGAAAATGGAAATTTACAAAATGATTGGTTATTTAAGTAGCTTCCGTTAAAATCACTGATTCAGAAGTAGTAAATACTTCTAAAATCAAGTTTTTCTATTTAAATGCTAATCTGGACAATCAAAGGCCATCCCTTTAATCTCAAAGTCAAAGAACTGGTTTTAATATTTCTGAAACAAAAAGAAAAGTTGAGTACTTTTAAAACACTAAAAAATATGCACGTGATAGTGAAGAGGCAACTCTTCCTGTATGACGTAATGTCAGTGCAAAGTCCAGTGAGTGGTTTTTGTAAGCCTCCAACTGCATCACATGACTCGTTTCCACCTTCACCTGAATTTAAAAGGGTTGTAAATTACAAATGATGTCCAACTCATGGAGGCCCCCGTGAACCCTGTCGTCTTTAAATTTAATACGTAATTAAATTAAGGATGGAAGAGGGACTGGGCTGAACAGAGGAGGTGTTTGAATGGAAGATGTGAGCAAAGTTTAAATCATTTTTAAATATCGCCTCTTGTTCCTGATGTGACTGTGGGAACTTTAAGCAACTCTTTAGGCAGGAAGAAGTGTTTCTTGTCCTTTTATTCTTATAATCACCTTCCAACTGTATTAAAAAGATAAAGACTTGTGTATAAAAGTATACAACGTATGTATACCTGCAATTTTTATGCTTTTGGTCCTTTTGGCACCAGGAAATATGGACCATCATGTAAGTGAGCATATCTGTTCATTTGGCTGTCTTTTAGCTGATTGACCCACTGGACAAATTTCAATGAAAAGTTTAGAAATAAATCATTGCAGGTACAGCTACAGCTGCTTACCTTCTAGAGTCAGCACAATTCAAGATGGCTGCCATGGCTAATCAACCCTAGCAAACACAAACATGGCTATAAGTCATCATTATTCAGTGAGTGAGTGCAAGATTTTTTACTTAAACTTTGCAGCAGGTGAAATGCATTTCTGCAAGGAATGCTACTTTATTCTACGTACTTTTAATATTTATTTTTCTACAGTGACCCTCATTTAATAATTCATTATGTCTGAATTAAAAGTGAATTCTAGAGACATAGCTGTACAATTTGATCCTGATTGGAAGAACAACTGTGTGTGTTTTTAAGGGTTTGTAGAAAACAGAAAAATAAAATACTGAAAGAAAAAAGCAGTGAATGCAACATTGATCTGAAATATTATTGTTGTAAAGGTACGCTTTTGCGAACTGTGAAATCAAACATCAAAATGTTATCCTGAACAAATGATGCCATTTGAAAGAGTTTATTCCAGTAGTTTTCCAGATCTACCAACACTCATTTCAGAAATGTGGGTCCACGCTCAATGTAAACAAAGCACTTTTATCTGCATATTGTGCTCAACAACATTATTTCAAGTGTAAATACGTACCAGTATTGTGAAACTTCTCGATCCAAAGCAACACCTCCACGGACGTCGACACTGTTGACCTATTTCTCGTCACTTGAGAAGTGTAAGGACTTCTCAATATGAGGAATGAATGTATGGACTTTGCCCTCCACTTTAATGTTTTTATTTATTTATTTATTTAATTTTTTCATGATAATGTTATGAGTTCAATTTAATGAGTTTGAACTACCCCACCACGGGCTGAGTGTGGCCCATAGGCTGCCACTTGATATACTGTATATATATATATATATATATATATATATATATATATATATATAATGATGTATATTTTAGTTGTTAGCTTTTAAGGCTAATTCCCTGTGGATTAGTTGGGATGATGCTGCATCACATCATCTTATTGTTTCCTTGCAGCTTGGAAAAAAAAGGGAGGAGGAGGGAGGATGAGCACTTTGTTCCCTGAGCAGTTCACGGACCTCCCTGCACATGACCTCATGTTGGGAGGAAGAGGAGGAGGAAGAGGAGGAGCTCAGCCTACCTTGGTGAATCGAGTTGGGACCGAGTTCATGTGGAGGTTCTGCTCAGAGGACTGGGACAACTTTAGCAGCTTTCCACCCATGACATTTCTCAGGTAAGACAGCGGAAGCGTCCGCGTGCTCACGGTGCCCGGGTGGTCTGTGTGGCGTTCATGAAAAGTGGGATTTTTCAGGTTTTGATGGAAGTTTGTGGAGGGATGTCCGGGCATGCCCATTGAGTAAAAGCAACGGGACTGGTCAGCAACTACTAAAACTATACTTAATTTCCCACTTAGTCCACATCTTTTCATTTCTCGAGTTAATTAATTGATTTATTTTTTCGTGAATTAAGCTCACTTGAACCCAAGCAGCGAGCAGAATCAGGTTGGT